GACAGTGATAACTGACTTTTTAGGGGTTTGTTCAGATTAAATAGAACAAGATACAAACTGTTAAAACATGTGAAACACACAACAGCCTTAATAAACACAGAGTTTGGACCCAGAAGCACGGTTCACACGTCATCACTGAACACCAGGATAGTGTTGCCAACTTTTTAACTGTCAAATAAGAGACACTAAAACGGGACAGTGTCAGCCCTAATCCCCAAAGACAGAGTGAGTGAATACTGTGAATATACACTGATTGGCTAAACCAGTGTGCGTTGGAACAGGAACAGGAAGTGATACCGCAGCGAGAGCCAACACCAAGCGACAGCTGTTGTGTTTACTGTAAGCAGCTAATGTGGCTGCTTACAGTAAACACGTTTCTACTGTGAAGAGCAGGGTTTGTTTTCCCCTGAGTTTCTGACTCTTACCTGTCTGACACAGGTGCTCTGTAATGTAGACGCCCTCTCTGTAGGTGAGTCCTCCAACTACAGGCGTCCCGGTTGCTGGGGCAACAGAGGGGTCGATGGCATCGATGTCATAGCTGAGGTGAATCGGTTTCTTCCCTCTGTTCAAGGACACAAAGCATCTTTAACATTCGCTCAGACTATCACACCTTGATGGCTTCATGCAGGCATCACCTGGCGGACAGGTAATCACACGTTTCCTCCATGACGCGGGCCACGCCGAGCTGATCCACCTCACTCATGGAGAAGGTCTTCACCCCCAGCATCTTCAGGATGTAGCTGAGGAGGAGAAAACCTCAGGATTAGAGCCTGCCGGTGGGTACACTCAGGTACACGCAGGTAATACACTTCTGGTGACCCTCAGACCAGAGCGAGGTCGCTGACCTTTCAGAGCTTTTTGCTTCTTTGAATTTTTATTGAGATTTCATTTCAATCATCTCCAAAATGCTTCGGGACGAGCTGATTGGTCAGAGGGGCGTCAGAAATAGGTGAGTCTCTGCATGGACTCAGGTGCACTCACTGCTCTGCTGGATCCACGTCTCTCAGCCCGATGAAGACCACGTCGGCGGCGGACACACACGGCTTCAGCCAGGAGAAGTTCGGTAAGACGGGAACCTGGTGAGGAAGGGGAGGGGTTAGTGATTCTGTGTGACGGCGTGATGCTGATCTCTGTCGCTGAGATCACCTTTGAGCGCAGCTCGTGGAGCAGGTAGGACACCGGCTGCCCGTGGATGTTCCCCGTGCACGTGGTCAGTGGCGTGTTGATGTCGGCGTGAGCATCCACCCACACGACGCTCAGCTCCCCAACCGCCGCAGAGTGCCCGTGGATGGAACCGATCGCCAGGCTGAGGATGGAAAACACAAACAGGAAGTGAGTCGATGGAGAGCCGACACCTGGAACCTAGGTCCTGACTTCCTGTTCCTGTGTGGACTGACCTGTGGTCTCCGCCCAGCACCACCGCCGTGTGCCCGTCCTCCTTCACCGCTCGCACCGCCTGTGACAGCTTCTGGTTGGCGGCACCCACCGCCCTCACGCTCTTCAGCAAGCCCAGGGGCTCGTCGCGGGACATGTCCTCGAACGTCAGGTTCCCATAATCCTTCACTGCACAGCCTGCACACACACACGATCATTGCAGGTTTCCTCGTACCGACTGTCCAACATTACCAGCTGAGGCGCTTCCCAGCACGCTCTCTGTGTGAACATTAACAGCGAGACGTTCAGGGAAGAACATGGCAGTGTAATGAGGCGTTCACTGTACCGTGTGGACCTGTAAACACTAACTGTTTGCTGTTCGTGGATAAAGGTCAGCGCTTTTCCAGTAATGAAACTGAGCGTGTGCACAGTGACCTCCTCTGAGGACGTTACACTCCCTGAACTCACTGCATCAGTGAACCTGTTACCTGCGTACTCGCAATCAGCTGAAGGAAAAATCACCAAACTCTGATTTTTACGGAGCTTTTTAAACGGGGCGTTACGTGACTCAGACTTTAAACACTTTGTCTGAATTTGAAGGTCAGCTCTGAGCACCTTTCCTGGATTCAAACTGTGCTGAAGGTTGATGTTTTACCGACGTCACAGATTCATTCAGAGGAATTGTTGAAAGTGGAAACGCCGGCGTGCTCCGCCTCCAGTTTGTTTCGATTCGATGGTTTCTGAATATTAAAAATCAGACACTGTCGCTGTTACTGAGCTGCACAGCTGTTTGAATCTAACTGTAAACTTTGTAGTTGATTAAACCCATCATAAAGACAAGATACACGATTTGTTTTCTACTTTTATTCTATTTTATTTTGACTATCTGAGCTTCTTTATTTTATTTTTATCGTCTCTGTTTGTTCGGGATCTTGTGTCATTTTGATTTTTTGAGCTGTTGTACTTTATTTATGGACCGTGTTTAATTTGTTGGCCACAGGAGGATGATCTGATCCTCTGTGTAGGAGGAAATCAGTGACTGCTCTCAATAATCAGCAGAAACATTTTAAAGCTTCATTTTGTCTCTTTGATGGATGGGGTTAAAATACCCTGGTGCAGACCGCGCTCATGTATTAATCAAACGTTTGTGCCCAGAAGAGTCTTCTGGATCTCCTCATCACTGATTACTCGGCTCTGGATGAACATTAACTGACAAACGGAGAAACTCAGGAAGTTTCTGAACGACCAACACGGATAACTAACTGGGCCGGCTGCGCTCCACTTAACGTCAGCCTTTCTTATCCTGGGAAAAAGCCCTGACAGCAGAAACATCTGTCCAGATGCTGCAGAGGCAAACTGCCACTCTGGTGATGATTTTTAACAGAAATGTGTCACAGCTGCAGGAGGAGCTTCCTGATGTGTGAACAGGTGAGAACACCTGTGGAGTCCATCTCAGCTGCCTCAGGCTGAGAGGCGGGGCACAGAGACACAGCTGTGAGTGGGAGCTGATCTGTCCCCACTCACAGCATGTCTGTGGACGTGCTCCACGGCCCTTGTTGCTGTGAGCATCACCGTGGTAACCACGGTGATGCTCACAGGGGGTTCATCATTCAAATGTTAACTTCCGGTCAGTTTTACCTGCTGTCATTACATTTGCTGCTGCATGAAGGTGATTCTGTATGAAAGCACAAAAATAAACGTCATCAGCTGTTGGAGTCTCCCGGTGACGTCACCGGACCCGCTGCCGTGCTCACCCAGCTCCTGCAGCCCCCTCTGCAGGCCCGCGGCTCGGATCCGCTCCGGTCCGTCCTCCACGCCTCCTCGGGACTGCAGCGGACAGAGAAGAAGAAGCTGGAGGATTACACGCGCACAAGTGCACGCGGAGCCTGTCCTCGCGCTCTCACCTGTCCCTTGGAGAAAGGAGCTCCGACGATCCCGGCGGAGCGCGCAGGAGGATGCTGGTGATGAAGGCTCCGCTGCACCGTCACGGCCACCTGGACCTGCCGCAGCGTCCTCGCGCTCCTCATGCTGATACACGCGCGCGCACACCGTCTCTGAGCCACTGACCGGCGCGAGTCTCCTAAAGACTCCACGTGACGTCAGGGGGAGGCACCGCGTGGAGCCGTGACGTCATGAAGCTTGTTTAAACACTTTGAAGTGATGAAGGTCAGACAGTGGGCTGATGTACGGAGGCTCATTCATGCCAACAACAAAAAAACACAGACGCTGAAGTTTATGATTTTTATTTTATTTAGAAATTTTAGTTTCCAGTTTTATTGTTTTTGTTTTGAAAAGGTTTTGTTCATTTTAGTTTCAGTTATTGAGTGCGGTGGGTGATATTAGTGATGTGTGGCAGCGATATTAAGTTTACAGTTACCCAAAATATGTTTCAGCCCAGTTTCAGGTTTATAATAAAGCCATAAATCCAGACAGCACGCTCCGTCCCTCGAGCGTTTCAGAGGAATGTCAGTAAATTGTGCTTCATCCAGCATGGTGCAGCGACGTATCACTGAAATATATGTGCTGTGTGGCTGAAGGTAGCGCCAACGTAGTGGAACCGTGTTTGCTCATTGGTAAGAAGTCGTTTTTACGCAGCTTATCTTTGACTTTCCAACTCTGCACGACCTGCTCAGAGAGGGATGTGCTGGCGTTAATGTAGTTTGCTTGGGACAACGTCGCCAACCTCCGCTTCACTGAAGCTTTCTCTCTTTGTGCGACTCTACCTGGGTAGCATATTCGCTGCGTCTATGAGGAAGGTTACAGGTAGTCAGAATCTTATTGATGAGTAACCACATGTCTCTGCTACATAGTGCCT